CTTTAAAAAATTTTTTTTTTAAAAAAGTTAATTTTAGCTACACCATAGCTGAATATAGGATCAAGGCTTCCACTGGGTTAAAGGCAGCACAAACAAAAGAACAAGCATTTAACAAGAACAGACAACATGGTAGACATTGAAGTCTTTCATCACAAATGTCTTTCCACAAGATTATCCTTTAGTGAGTGCGGATGGTGGAAGGCTTCGCCTCCTTGATACTTTCACTAATTCTACATGGCAAATCTCCACATTCCTTGCGATCTATTGGCCCATCGGCATGGAGCAATTATATCGAAGTTATTTTCAAGAAAACTTTCCAAGTCCTCCATTGACAGAAAGGTGGGTAGGCAGTGATCCAAATTTTCTCAACATGAAATAAAGATACGATTTAGACAGTAATAAAGAAAAAATAAAATAATTAAAATGGTCAACAAAATGGCATTGCTTACATCCAATTTTCTCAACAAAAGTGTAAATAATTTTCTCTCCTGTAGTAAAAATACATACATATTTATGCATTGAAAATAGGGAAGGTGAGTTGAAAGTGTCCCCTAATAAAACGTTTGGATTACCATCTTATCAGAATTTTCTCTCGTTTTATGAAAGCTCTCAAGCTAATATTCTATTCGTGTCTGTCATAATCAAGATTTTTTTTTTTTTGTCCTAGTTTTGATCTGCTTCATTTTATACCATTAGCTTGAATGACGCACAGACTACAAAAGAAGAAAAAAAGGGAAAAAAAAAAAAACATTGCGATATTTTTCCCTAATCCTTATAAATAAGAGGGACGGAAACAGTCCAGTTCAGTCATCAATAGCAGCCCAAAGTAGGGCCAGATATAATTCTTTATTCATCATCTTCATCATTTTAAAGTTCCAACAATCCTTATTCCACGGGTGACCGGCAATTGCAAGGTTCAACCATTACGACTCCGCCTTGTCCTATTATTATTGTTTATGGCTGTACATCTACTGCGCCAGAATTAGAGTACAACTTTTCGTCTGTTCATACCTTGGGGTTACTTCCTCCTGGTTGGACTTTCCATCCTCGTTATTTATGTCTAATTCCTCGTTTAGCTCCGTTTGGATTAGTTATTTTATTTTTAAGATATTTTTAAAAAATTTCACTGTAACAAAATTTTTGGAATATATTTTGGGGTATTTTTAGAAAATATTTTGAAATATTTAAAAATAGTAGAGTTTTTAAAATATATTTTGAGATATTGTTTAAACATTAAAAAAATTTAAACTACTTTTAGAGCACTTTTTAAAAATTTTTATAGTATTTGAAAAACTAGTTTTTGAACAACAGAGAGATCCAAACAGAGTTATTCCATACTCAAAATAAATCAAGGAAATAAACTAGAAAGATTAGTTTTATTATTTGAATCTTTAATAGTAATCCCAATCAAGAAAGGAAAGATTTAGAGAAAGAGTAGTAGTATTGCAATCTAAATTCTAAAGTTATTTTTTAAACAAAATTGCAGATAAGCACAAGCATCTTAACAGTTTGCTGCGACTGCCAGAGTTAATGAGGGTCCACCTTGACTATTTTGGACAGTCAAATCTATCCGGCTGTTCAATATACTGGAAATACAAAATTTCAGATTTCCCCGTGACATTACACACTTTGGCCCTCCATGCCATGGTCGCCCGCTACCCTATAAATACCCACGCACTTCCTTAAGCCTTGCTCATTCATACAAGCACGACTTTCTCCATTCCTTAACCATGAAAACCTTCAATTCTTTCAGCATCTCCACTCTTCTCATCATTGCTTTCCTCTCAGCCTCCGCCCATGCTGCCACTTTCGACATCCGAAACAATTGTCCCTACACAGTCTGGGCTGCAGCGGTACCTGGCGGTGGTCGAAGGCTAGACCGAGGCCAAACATGGACCATCAACGTGGCAGCCGGCACAGCCGGAGCTCGTATCTGGGCTAGAACAAATTGTAACTTCGATGGAAACGGCCGTGGCAGCTGTCAGACCGGTGACTGCGGTGGAGTTCTTCAATGCACTGCCTACGGTAGACCACCCAATACTCTAGCAGAATACGCACTGAACCAGTTCAATAATCTGGACTTCTTCGACATTTCCCTTGTTGATGGCTTCAATGTGCCGATGGATTTCAGCCCTACATCCAATGGCTGCACCCGGGGCATCAGGTGCACCGCCGACATAAATGGGCAGTGCCCAAGTGTGCTTAAAGCTCCAGGAGGTTGCAACAATCCATGCACTGTTTTCAAGACTGATCAGTATTGCTGCAACTCAGGCAGCTGCAGTGCGACTGACTATTCCAGGTTCTTCAAGACTAGGTGCCCGGATGCATACAGCTATCCGAAAGATGACCAGACTAGCACATTCACTTGCCGAGGAGGAACCAACTATAGGGTTGTCTTTTGCCCATGAAAAGATCCTTAAAACGAAGACTTGCTTGAGACTAGTTAAATATTTATACATGCATGGCACAATAATTTGCTGGACACAACACATAATGTCATCTGCAAATGCAATATTCAGTTCAAATAAAAACTATGAACTGATAATAAAGTTAATAGCTACTGGATGTTCGTGTTATTTCTTACTCTAATAACCTGTTTAATATTCATTGAATTATTTCTTTTTCCTCGGTAGTTTCTTCCTCTCAAGTCGAATGTGTGAGTTATTCGAAAGAAAAAATGGTTCAATTTTTTTTTGAGGCAAAAAAAAAGGTTTAATATTTTAGTTGAATAGAAAGAATATACATATAAAATTTGAAGAAGAAGTGGAAAATCGAAACGATTTGAAACTAATTCCCCCCATAAGAGAAATTGATAGTCTTTTACAAGGAGCTAGAGAAAACAAGGGATTCAAGTCCACACAATTTTTTTTTTCACAGCAATTGTTTTGTTGGCGCAGGATTACCCTAGTAAATTGCCTACAAAAAGAATATGGTCTAGCCTATTTTCTTTCTCAATTTTCAGTTTTATTCTTACGCAAGACCCTATATCTATCCTGCTCGGGGTGATCGAAGGTGCGTTCATCAATATGAAACTCTATAGTGGTCTCTATCTCACAATTGCAATAAAACATTATAAGCGACAAACTCTTCCTAAAAATGGACATCCCTTTCTCTTTAATTTATGTGTTTTTTTTGTGTGAACACGTTTCAATGTACAGTTTTTTTATGGCGGGTTCAAGAGAAGATCCAAACCTTATAAGAAAAAAGGAGAAAAGAAAAGGATTTGAGATTCGAACTAGAAACTTCAAAATCATCTTGTTAATGTCTCTAGACCAACTAAATTGGATTTTCTGGACATTCAATGTATAGTTTGATCCATTTAAATATGCATATTCATTTGCATTCACATATACCTTGAACAGATAACAGGGCTTGATTAGTATAGTATCTTCTTTTAATTTGTGGTAACTGACCATGCATGTTAATATATCCCACCCCTTTTGCCAACCATTATCTCATATGGGTCTAGGCAGATGAATATGCAGTATGAACTTGATTCGGGAACAGTCGTTTCCTCATCTGCTAGATAAACTCTTTCCGCATATGGATTCTTTCATTATCAAGAAAAATTTTGTCGCAGCCAACACAGTAGGACATATCTGCAGCTTTGATGCAACCATTGAAAGAAGCCATTCAAAGGTGACAACCACAATTTAGTGTCTCGAGACTTTAAAGTCAAAGTCTTGGGATTACCAACAGCTCAAAAGGCTAGCTGTTGGCACCAAACTGGTGATTGCAATGGTATTATTCAGTGCACCACCTAACACCCTAGCGGAATACGCAGTAAATCAATTCAATAACCTAGACATCTTTGACATTTCTCTTGTTAATGGCTTCAACGTCCCACTGGAGTTTAGTCCTGCATCCAATAACTGCAGACTAGACATTTACCTCCCCTGCAGCGATGACCAGACTAGGACATCTACCTTTTGCCGGTAAAAATTTAAGTTAGAGCAAAGCAAGAGCTCTATCGTTTCCATAAAGAGGATTTGCAAGTTACTGCAAAGTATTCACGGGCTCCATCACTCTGCTCGTCCTTTAACATTTTGTTTTCATTCTTTTTGAAGCATTTCTTTGCCACGGTATATATTTTCTTACTCGCAAGTTCGGAATCTCAGTTTAGCGTTTGAAGAAATACAATAAATGTATAAGTAGTCCCATTGCGTGATCAAGATGAGGGATTAACATTTAATCGGTCCAATTTCAATCGATTTTATTCCTTTCCTTGAGGTTGTAGCTCTTGTAACCAAGTTAACTTGTGTAAATATCAAATCTTGTATTTTAAGGTCTCATGAGTAAGAGGGTGCTGATCGACAAGCAGTCCTAACAGCCAATATATGTCCCTAAGTCCGGATCACTTCAACGAAGCTCACTTAAAGTTGAAACAATATTCATTTTCCTAGTCAGTCCTCCGAATATGCTATCCAGAAAGTATTCTGAAAACGTGCTTAGTTTGGGTGTATAATCTTGAGAATTAGATCAGTATTTAATATGTCAATCTGGCAACATAATATTTCCTACTAAATCGTCTTTCCTCGTTTTCTACTCATCTAATATTTGTCTGGACTCATCAATGTGAAGTTTAATAAACAATACAATAATGTGATTGTGGCTGCTTCTTCTTTAGCTATACAAAGAATTGTAAAATCCCACTCAAAAGTTTATAATCACTAACATGTTTTTGTAAGTACAATTTTTAGAATAATAGAACACACCAACAAAAATTGTGGAGAATTTTATACCTTTTGCTTCATTTTCTCTTTGAGAGAGATTTGTTTCCCACATGTTCACAAGAGATACTTCGAAGAGCAGATTAAAGATTTCAATTGAATCAAACGCTAGTCATTATAGCTATTATCCTCGGAAATTAGTTATACAGTGGTAGAATTAAAAATTATTCCAGTTGAGGCACAATATAAAATGAAAATAGTTTAGTTCGACCAGTAGAATTAGACATTAAGATCCACATCCCAAATAATATATGTACTCACTAAATAACACAATATGAAAGCATTAACTTTTCATATTGGAAATCTCTCTAGTAGACTAAACTTGTATTTAATAGAATCGGGTTTGTACTTTTAGGCATCGTCAAAGTAATGGATTGTGATTTTGACTTGATTTTTCTACAAAGAGTTATCATAATATATGAGATTCTTTTGGCGAAAAAAGATGTCGTATGTAATCTGGTAAGAGCAGTTCTAATGGTTTTCATGCTTATTGGATCATCTAATTCAGGGATCTACTAATGGTCATGTCATGGTAACATTATGATGTCATTTGATATTTTAGTTGATTGTTATCTGACAAGAACTTTCCTTACTATAGTTTGTCAGAGTAACTCTAAAGTCCAGATACACTGGAAGGGAGCAGCTGAAATGGTTTTAAACTCATGTGCCTTGACATGTTTGGCTGCTTGCACTCCATAGGTTAGGATAAAGACAGATAAGCTTGCGTTCATTAGTGGAAAACTGCTTAAGCAGAAACTATGGCATAGTTGGAAGCTATTGGAGTCAAGAGATTACAGGTAAGTTATTTTTCTTTTGCTTTCTTTGAAGGGTATTGATTTCTACAAGACAGCAGGGAAAACAGGGCAACCATACGACTACCTCTCTGATAGCAAATGTGGCAAGCAGGACGGAAGATTATCTAATACGGAGGAGGAATATTTTTGATCCTACAAAGAAACTGAATGACATGAAAATAGATATGACTTATCTGGAATGGTACAAGAAGGTGTCGATTGAGCTGGGAGGATACTATGATAGTTACAAACTTGGAAAAGTAGGGATGAAATCAAAAGCAGACACGAAATCATGAAGCGCAAGAAAATTCTTACTCGATACTGGAGAGGCATAGTTGATGAAGCAGAGCAAATGCCTCAAAAATGAAGGGGTGGCTTTTTAGACTCGTTGTCTTTTTGCACAGGAACCAATTACCGAAGAATGGTTGAACCACTTGACACTAGATAGACAATAGATGGTTTGGGTAGGAGAAGAAAGGTGTAGCCCAAATATTTACATTGAGTGGAAAAATCAATTTCCACTAGTATTGTTATTAAGGAATTTTTTTTCTTCGTATATACAATTTCCTAAGATTTTTATTAAAGCTAAACAATGGAATGAATTTTTCAATTCCCTATAAGAAGGAATATGTGATTATAATTTGTAGAAAGTAAAGGTAGAGGAAAGAAAGACAATATTCCAAAGTTGGAAAATATTTTCAAATGTTAAACAAACACCAGAAAATGAAGTTAGATAATATTTTCAATAGGCTAACCAAACATCCAAAAATGATAAAAAGGAAATGATTTTCCTGGAAAAATACTTCAATGAAAAATATTTTTTCAAGGAAAACATTTTACTCCCAACCAAACGGACCCTAAGATTCGCATCCCAAATAATAGCAAGTAGATCTGTACGTACTCACTAAATAACACAATATGAAAGCATTAACTTTTTCATATTGGAAATCTCTCTGGTAGACTAAACTTGTATTTAATAGAATTGGGTTTGTACTTTTAGGCATCGTCGAAGTAATGGATTGTGATTTTGACTTGAATTTTCTACAAAGAGTTATTATAAACACATATACATACAGATATATATGTTTGCATACAGATTTTTGGGGCCAAAAGAAAGCTTTTTTTTTTTTTTTTTTCTAAATTGCAAGTTAAATTTTATTTTTCATTGGGGGCACACATATAAACTTTTTGGGTGAAAACAAAAAATTTCTTTGAATTTTTGATACTTAAAATTTTAATTTATTTTCACCAGCATAAACAAAACCAAAAAATTTCCTTAAAATAGGAGAGAGGGGTTTGGAGCGAAAAAATCGTGTCATTTAATGTATTATCAAATCTATCCTTACTTCTAAAGAGAATTACATCATTTTAACTCATATTTGTTGAATTAGCTATCACTTCCCTAACCGAAAAATACCACTTTTTTTTTAAAAAAATAATACAACAATTTAACTATTTTAAATTACTATTTTTCAACAAAAAAAATAATACTAATCATTTTTTTATATCTTTTTATTAGTAGTACACACATTGGGTGTGCCGTAACCACAAGTATTAAATTATTTGTAGAGACAAAAGGTCGAATCTACAACAAAAAAAAAAAAAAAAAAACTTCTAAAGAGAAAAATGAAGCAATTTTCCACAATTTGGGACGGCGGCCCCTCCCCACCAATGCCACCCTATAGTTCCGTCCATGCCCACTGACTGACTTACTTGTAGATCCTCCTCCCATGTAGTTATGATCAGCAGATTTTTCTGAATACTTTTTTATTCTATGTTTTCCGCAGTCAGTGACCTATCGAAGAAAATTCTACTCTACTCTACGCGGCAAAGAAAGGCAGCTGCTACTTTCAAGCGGCGCTGAGGTGAGGACCGTTGTGATAGCTCGAAATGTAAAATCTGCAATTTTTCTTCCGCTCGAAATCTCCTGAAGTCTTCTTCGTCCCTTTTCTTTTAGCTGCAGCTTTCATTGCCAGAAAACAAGTGACTGACGTGCCAGCCCTGGAATTCTTATCCACATGATAAGGAGAGTATATACGAACAAATTAGTCAAATATGTGGCTAATTCCAGAGTCTTTCGACCTAATTCGGCCAAACCCTTGGAATTCCAGTGGACAAGATCATGTGCAAGGTGTCCTTTTCTTTTCATCTTTTTTGTTTTATCTTTGCTCTTCTTCGAAGGTGGTTGGGCTCGCGGGACAAGGGCCGGCTTGTGCCATCAATGCTTGAGAGTACGTAAGATTAGCTCTCCTTTGTGTTTTTTGACTTTTTCTCGTTGGAAAATTTTTATAGCTTGGACATGTTATTTTTAATGTTTTTGCAGATTTGTTGCTCTATTTTTTTTTTTTTTTTGAGTTTCTAGACCCTTTTATTTAATTAGTTACGTGTTTGATTCTTTAAACTACATCGCGCTTGAAACTTGTAGAAACACCTCATTCAACAATTAATTAAAGAAACAATAGAATTATTGAAAATGGATTAGTCTTAGCTTAGAGAGATGGATTAGTAATTATTGAAAGTCAAGATGGATTAGTCTTAGCTTAGAGAGAACTAGATTGCCAATAGAATTCCCTTACCGCCACGGGGCTTGTTTTGACACTTCGTATCCACTTCCTTTAGATTAATAATTACAAAATAAGATGATAATAATATCATTGGTTATGTAACTCATCATTTTCTCAAGAATTGAGTAACACATGCACTAAAATAGATTTTTAAAACTTCTTTCCAACACGAGAAGAGTGGATTTACATAATTTATTATTCACAAGGGGAAGGATATTTTTTCTACACATAGAATAAAAATTTGTCACAAAATAAAAAATAAAAAATTTACACCTATAATTAATGCACGACAAAGTCAGTCCATCAAAAGGAGCAAAACTTTTGGATTACCACCTTACAAAAGTTTTCTCTCATTCTGTGAAAGGTCTCAAGCTCATATTCCATTTGTGTCATAATCAAATTCTGTTTTTTTTTTCTAGTTTCTCCTCCATTTTACACTGGCAGTTTTATTGATACTTAAACCACGAAAGAAGAAAAAGAGGGAACATAGAAAACAGTCCAGATATTGATATATACCAGGCCAAAGTAGAGAAGATAGTAACTTAATTTATCATCTTCATCATTTGACTGTTCCAACAATCCTTGTTCCACGACTGACAATCCTTCATCATTTGCAAGGTTCAACAATTTACGCCCCAGCATTGTCATTGTCCCATTCATATATATGAATCTATTTTCCTCATTGGAATACTTTTGATCGTATTAGAATACGTTTTTGTAGACCAAATCAAGCAGAAATTACTGAACGAACGAAGCTTAATTAATCCGTGATGCAACACGAGCATATTCTACAGAAAACTATAGAATATCCAATCTCAAATATGTCAAGGCAATAAATTAGAAAGATTAGTTTTTATTTGAATCTTTAATAGCAAATCCTAATCAAGAAAGGGAGATTTGTAGAAAGAGAAGTGGTAAATGCAATCTAAAGTTTTTTTTTTTTTTTTTTTTAAAAATTGCAAATAAACATAAACATGGCCCGTTCCCATGGGAACCATACTACTAAAGAAACAAATATATAGTGCGTTTTACCATGGCATTCTTTGTTGAAAAATTCTACTAATCCACAATGGGCGGCATGAAAGGTGAGTACGCGTCGTTGCAATAAGTACCGCTTATTCCAATCGCAGAAAATAGAGAATTACTCTAAAGCAAAAGACCAAAATAGATGTAAATAGTGAAGATGGATTGTTATCTTCTCTCTCATTGCGTGGGCACTATAAGCATAGTCTGATTGATAAAATGTTTTATTTGTAATCAATATTGTGGGTCACGAATTCGAGCCATTAAGGAGTAAGTGAATGAAAAACTATTATTGATCCTCCTAAATATTAGAAAAAAAAAGTAGCAATTCATAAAACCATATCTCCTAAAAATAAAATTCTAAAGGATTGATTCTGGAGTTCTTCACAAAAATATTTAACTTGCCACTTGAAACTCAGTAAAGCACTTTTTTTTTTTTTTGTTTTTTTGTTTTGGGTAAGTGGAATGTCAGTAAAGCGCCAAATTGTATTCTAAAATGCATAATAATTCCCTCTTGCTCAACAGAGGCTAATGGATTGAAATATTGATGCTTCCCAAAATTAGCCGTCAAATGTGGTTCTTGACTTGGGTGGTACAATTGTATGCCCGTCGCTCCAACATGGCGCGACGGGCAGCAAAAATTTTTTTTAAAAGTTCTTCTGGCCGTCGCGTCATGTTGGAGCGACGGTCAGAGGTGTCAGAAATTTCTGACCGTCGCTCCAACATGGCGCGACGGTCAGAAATGTTTTTTTTTTTTTTTAAATCCTCCTCCTTATTTTGAAAAAACAAATTTTCTCAAGCATCTATAACCTTTGACCGTGGCTTTATTGATAGCTTTTTTCACGTGAAACCTTTCCGTGAAACCTGTGTAAGTTGCCATTCGTTCATCATTGTTAGGTTGATGCATGCAATAAACAGACAAATGGAGTCGATTATTGATTGTCCTCATTTAGTATGGCCTCTCCTCTCCTTGTAGACATGTTCTGCAGGACATCTGCCAGACGTATACAAAATTTATTGAGCAGAAACCTGCAGCCTTTGACCGCTTGGGACTGCAGCTTTATTTTTTTGGCTTGTTTTGTGTCAGGAACAGGCGTAGACAGCTTTTGTTTTATTTTTCAATGACACTTTAGTCACTTCAACATGGAGCAACGGGCTAGAGAAATGCACAATTCCTTCGCTTATAAATTGTTCTTCAGAGCAACTCCCAATTCCATTTCCATAAGCACAACTTCAGTCGTATCTTTTTTTTGCCGAGACTTTCGTTTCTCCCTCTTCCCTCTAATCATAAACGGAGCTCCGCATCTCCATTTCTCATGTCGGTAAAGCCTCTGCATTCTGTTCAAGCTTGGGTGTGTGAAGTGAAATAAATATTGTTTGAAGTTACAAACAATATTTGGACGGAGACAGAGATCCTTGAAACTTAGCTACATTCGGAAGGAATTCTGAAGGAGCTCCTCCAGTGAAGTCTGAAGCTATAATATTTGAACGGAGATAGAGAGCTTGGGGTTCGGTCAGTAGAGGGCCTTTGATTTGAACAGTCGTGTTTGCAAGTCTCGACAGGCGAAATTCTCGCAGAAACTCCATCATTGACTAGGGAAAAACAACAATAATCAAGTAAGTAAAATACTTATCAACTTTTTTAATTATTATTCATAAATATTGTTTACTATAATTTGGAACATATCATTCATGATTATTAATTGTATAATATTGTTTGTTATGTTTTAATGTGAATTCTATTTTTGTGTTATATTATATATTATTTGTGAAATCTAAATATGACATGACATTGTTTATATTTTATTTCGTATTAGTGTTTTTTAATTGATATGGTAAATTAGAGTATTTTTTTGTTGTAGCATGGTGATTAGTTGAAATTAATGAATGTAGTATTAATGAATTGTATAATACTAGGTATGTGGAAGAATATGTGATAACCCAGTAGAGTAGTTAGTTAGTGATTAGTTTAATTA